CTTGTTTTTTTTTTTTTTTTTTTTAATTTGCCATGGCTAGAAACCTAATACTGTTTCTGTTTCAGAACATATACTTGCTTTGTACTTTCTCGGCTCCTTCCTGATTTCTGCGAGGAATCCGGCGTAGCAATGGCCATGGAAAACCAGGTTAGTGCACAGTAGAGGCTTTCATGGGCACTAATCTTGATGACAAAATTATTCGAACAAACACTTCTTGTGTCACCAATATATATTATGTAAAACCTTGTGACTTTGATTATGTGTCTATAATACAGATTAGTCTGTTTGGGTGTTTGGTGCTGACCTCCAATAAGCTCCTAAAGTATTAGCAAGAATTTGCAAGTGACAGGCAGGCAGAGGTGCTGTTCTGCCTAATCCCATTCTCGAAACTCTGACTGTGTATGTCTGAGCAGTTTCTGTTGCTTTCCTTAAGGCACCGGGTTATTCCTTTCTCTGCCCCCTCCCAACGGCCTTTGTCCTTCTCTCCCCTGCTTTGATGTATCTCAAACGTTGGAAGATTTAGCTAACCTTATGGACCGGAGCCAGGAAGACAGCGAGAACAAATTTAGAATAGGAGGCAGAGAATGTACCAGCTGGGAGGTGATGCTGTCAATCTCCATGGAGACCTCTTTAGTTACAGCTTTGCTAATTACTCTGATGAATTGTATAGAGTCCGGTTGAAAGCCCATCCAAGTCAATGGAGAGTTTCTAATTGACTGGCCATGTCTTGGGACCATGAAGAGTGCAAAGGGCACGGCCCCTGCGTGTAACACCGGTGATGATTTGCCTTTGTGGCTTTCTCCTTGGTGGCCAAAACACAACCTAAGGAGAACCTAGACACCTTGATCTGGTCTCCTGCATGAGGCCAGCTTCTTCTAAAGAAGAAAGCCCTGCCGAAACAAATGTAGGTCTTGTCTCACCAAAGCAATTTATTTCTTCGGAATGCAGGTGAGCCATCCCCATCATCTTCTCAGCAGGTGCACGTTCCACAGGAGTCAGCTCCTGTGGGAGATGAACTGGGACAAGATCCACAGAAGCCTTTTGGCTCCAAACGCCTAGATGGGACATGGCCCTGTGCAGGAGTTGGGCAGCTGTATCCGTGAGCCCCATGTCCCCCAGATAAGCCTGTTTCAGCAAAGCCAGGGACTGCAGACACTGGCAGAGAGGAATGCCAGAGGTCTGGAGAGAAAGAAAAGGTGGCCCCTCATCTGCTCGGGTTTCTGGGTTAGGACATCTCTTATCTCAGAGGGGGCTCTCAGGCCTGGGGACCCTGCCCACACCCGCAACACAAGCAACAACAGCCCTCAGGTGAAGTTTGGCTCCTCAGCACTGCGGCTCAGGCTTGTCATTACTTGAAGCCAAACTGGCTTTAGGCACTAATCCACTGAACAATTTCCAGTTGTTATCAAAATCTACTGGACTTCTTAACCACGAGTCCCTGATGTACCACCCCCCCTCAGCTTCTAGTTCTCTCCCTTGTTTGTTCAGAAGTTATTTATTTGTCCTACAAATAAGTACAATGTTAAATTAAGAAATGAAAAAAAAATCAGCCACGCGTGGTGCCTGATTTCTAACAGGAGTTGGCTGCCTGAGCTGATCCTTCCCCTCCATCCCCCCAAATATCAATGCCATTTTCCAAACCCCCATCAGATTTCACTCCATGCTGCAGGTGTGTGCATCCACGTGTGTGTGTGTGCGCTCACACCTGTGCCTGAGAAGTCTCAGCTTCCCTCGAGCCCCTGAGGGACGCGTGGCCAAGCTGAACAGTCCATGGAATAGCTGCTTGTGCTGCGATTTGGGGATGCTCCAGGTGGCTGAGACCTGTCTGAAATCCCAGCCCTCTGTGCCACTATCAGTCAGACCGGCTGCTCAGCGATTTGGTGAAAAAAGCCATGATTTAAGGTCGAAAGAAAGGTGATCAGTGAGTTCCCTGCAACTTTGCAATTCATCGGAAGGATTTATTTATCTCATCAAGAATAGAGAAGCTGGAGGAAGAGCCCCCACCACCCTGCCTCGGGTGCTCATCTTCCTGACACCAGGCAGCTGGAAATTAGTGGGCTGAAAGCTCGTTACCTTTGGCTCCTCTGGCAGTAGGTAGAACACAATAGGCATCTCCAGAGGATGATTTGTCTGTGCTATTCTTAGGCACCTGCCCCGGGATGAGATGAATCAGCCCCTGTGCTGCATGTTTCTTCCCATGGGCACAAAGCGAGCATTGGGTGACGCAGGCTCAGCCTGGAGAACGTGGAGCTTCAGATTTAACCCAATTCACCTACAAACTCTCACACGGGGACTTCCATGGGGCCAGCATGGCATTACAGAAACTGCTTCTCCCATGTGACTTGGACTTCTCCTTCTGAGACTGTCTCCTCCACATCCAAACACTCAGTGAAAGGCCCAAAGTAAGCAGCATACATTAATTTAAATCTAGGTGAATATTGGGCTTGACGTTTAATTTATTCTATCTTAATTCTCCATCAGTCCTGCCATTTCCCTGAGCCTTAATGCCATAATGGCTTTAAATCTCTCTCTCTCTGCATGTGCGTGCATATTAAGTATTATGTTTAAGGTTTCTGGCTATCCCTAAATCTTACTTCTAATACCCTTACACAAGTGCAGGGTTGGTTGAAATTGCCAGAAACGTTATATGTGTGGGCTGGGTGGGGACTGGGTGTTTCAAATACAATTGTGCAACTGTATCCCTCCGTAACAGGGAATTAAGCCTCTAAAAAGACGTTTAATAATAATTTTAAACGCCTAAGAACTTGGTTAAAGGAGTTGGGGAACGAAACCTGAATTACAAAAGGAATGAAAAACTTCCTAAGCCTTAAAAAAAAAAAGAAAAAACAGAAGCAAAGACTGAACAGATCATGGTTTCTCCAAAAAAGGAGAAAAGAACCAATCCAGAGGCTCAGTCACAGTCAGAAGCTTGCAAAAAGACAGATATTAAAACTAAACCAATAAAATCTGGAAAACTTGCTCCGAGGACAAAGAATGGCCCAACTCTCCCTTGTGGTTACTCCGAGCAGCAGCAGGATGTCCCAGCCAGGCGCTGTCTCTGGCATGTCCTAGTGTCCCCGCCGATGCCCGCAGGCTGTCGCCCACGGCTGGAGGACACAGTTCCCCCTCGGGTGGTGAAGGCACAAGGAGCACCGAGCACCTGTAAATCACAAAAAAAGTGCCCCAAAATATCACCGATCTGGGCTCCACAGATCCACTCCCGCCAGGCTCAGCATGTTCCTGCTGAAGGCCAAGGACATTTAGTAGCCACGTTTGGGAGGAGAAAGGACTGCTGGCTTTTTGTGCAGCGAAGCCACGGGCACGGAGCTGCGGGTGAGATTCCCAGCAGCTTCCAAAGGCGATGGCCAGCCCTCGGCCCCTCTGCCTCCTTCCTTCCTTGCATCCAGACCCACGCAGCCCCTGCTGCTCTCGGTGGGGAGATGTGGGCACGTGTGCCCCGCACAGGTACAGGCACCGCGGAGGCTCGCCAAGCGCGGGCACAAACCCAGCTGCCATATGGGAAAGGGGAGGGAAGGAGCTGGGAAAGAGCCCGTTCCTGGCTTTTCCCGAGGTTTGGCGTGCACAATTCCAGTGCTGATAAAACAGGGAGGGGGCAGGAAGGCTCATGGCGGCCGCAGGGAGTTTTGAGTCAAGTGAACTCGCTGCTAATCCTCTTCTACAGGGTCTTTCTTGCGGGAGGAAATCTTATGACTCCGGGGAGAAGTATGTTGTGTAACCAAGCAATGGTGAACCTGAGTTGCATTTCACAGGGCTTGGCACAGGCAGGAGAGAGTAGGGTACTCATCCCCAGAGAGCGTGAGAGAGACCGTCCCAGTGCATCGCCCGTCGGCTTTGAGTCCTTAAAAGCCCTGGAGCGGCCTTGGGAGAGGAGCTCAAGTAAAGGGAAAAAAAAAAAAAAAGAAAAAAAGCAAGAAAAAAAGCCCCCAAACCCTAAAGGAATCAGCTCACTGCCCAGGGCTTCCCTGCACTTGTTGTTGAAACATTGTCTAATGTCCCTTTGCACTGCACGGAGCTTTGAAATCCGCAGGATCAAAGCCGTATGGAGGCACTATGGATGTGCCCAGGCAAATTTAAAGGCATTTTACAATTAGAGCAAGAAGCACAAAGCTGGGCTTCGGGCTCCTCTTGCTGTTCCACCGTGACATCTAGTGGCACTCTGCAGTGCTACTGTGCAACCAGGGCTGGTGTTTCTGTCTTCAGGCCTCTCCTGTGCTCATCTCCTGACCCACTCTTCCCCGGCCGTCTGAGAGGGGTCACATAAGACTTTGGAAGAGGCTGTTTTGCCACTTTATCCTCTTAGATTTTTCTAGGTTTAGTAAGTTGGGATTTAAAGCTTTTGGAGTGTGCAAAAAAGTGTGCTGCTTCCCAGAGTGTGTGGCCATGTCCCCACCTTTGTGTGACGTGTCTTTGCTTTACAACTTTATGCCAGAGGTGCTGAAAGCAGGCAAAAGGGGTCATGGGTTAAAAAGTGTGAGCATTTAAGACAGCTTTTACTGCAAAAGAAAGCGAGGGAAAATTAAAAGGTCTAGGTGGCAGCAGCGGCCAGCTGCCGGCTGGTCTTCCAGGTCCCCAAGGTGTGAATTTGCAGTTGTCACTGGGTAAATCTTGTTTGCAAACCATTCTCTAACCAAATTGTTTCCCGTAGAGCTGGCCGTCCCTTTTGGTAGGAGCCAGGCAACATTTCTGCTCAGCTTGTTGCCATCTCTTGTGTGAGATTAACAGCATGTGATCCGGTGTTAAAAAGAAAAAAATGCCACCGAGTCAGCGTGTAACCTTTGCCATGTCTCTGTGAGAAACAATTCTTCACAGAGAGAGTGGTCGGGCATTGGAATAGGCTGCCCAGGGAGGGGGTTGAGTCACCATCCCTGGCTGTGTTTAAGAACCGTTTAGATGTGGTGTTGGGGGATATGGTGTAGGGGAGAACTTTAGAGTAGGGGGGATGGTTGGATGATCCCGAGGGTCTCTTCCAGCCTAGATGATTCTATGATTCTATGTCAGCTGAGGACAGCGGGGCTGTTGGTGTGTGTTTCCATCCCGAGGGTGGTTCGCAGGGATGGGGCAGGTGGGTCTGGCTCTCCTGGCTGATTACAAGGATGATGATTGGCAGTACCCCAGGTCCTGAATTAAATGACAGGTTAAAAATAATGTCACTGATTAGAAAAGTAAGCAGTAAGAGATGCAGTTAAAAAACCAAAACAAAACAGCTTAGTGAAAGTTTCTCACTGGTGGCAGACACTGATGCCAAACGGAGTTATAAGGAGGTACCCAACAGATGCTGCAGTGATTTAATCGGGAGCAGGAGGCAAAGGAGCAGGGATGGGACGGAGGGTGCGGGGCTGGGAACTGGGGGTGCCCGGGGACACCCCCGGGTGAGTTTCACTCCCAGCCCGTGGTTCTCAAACCCAGCCCTGGGGTACCTGCCTGGCCCACGGCAGCCTCACGGCCCCAAGGCAGGGCCCAGGCAGCAGCGCAGCTGGTTAAAATCTCCAGTTTGATGTGCTTTTGCCAGGCAGGTGATTCAGAATGGCCGCCTGCTCCCTGTGCCCCTGTGCTCTGCGTGGAGCTCGGGTGGGTGAGGGTGAGAAAAGGCCCTCCCAGAGGAAACGCTTCAATTTCGGTGTTTTCACCCTTTCCGGGCCCCTGCCTCACGCCGGCGCCGGGGGGTCCGCTCCCTTCCAGGCCGGTTTGCCCTCGGTCTCTGCCCCCCGGGACGGGCCGGGGCCCGCACCCCGCCTCGGCCGCGGGCACAAGATGGCGGCGGCCGTGAGGGCGCCGGCCGGAGCGAAGGGCAGGGGCCGCGGCGGGGCGGAGAGGGCCGGGCGGCGCG